ATGTTGGATGAACCACTTTTTCTACGAAAAAAAATAATTGAAAATTCCAAATTTTCACTACATTTCAATGCGAAAACTCCCTATTATAACCTTCATAAAGACAAACCCCAAATAACCAGGCTAACCAATGCATTAACACCCTCCAAATCACCAGGCTAACCAATGCATTAACACCCTCCAAATAATCAGGCTAACCAATGCATTACCACCCTCCAAATAACCAGCTTATCTAACCTAACCTAACCAATGCATTAACACCCCCAAATAACCAGGCTAACCAATGCATTAACACCCTCCAAATAACCATGCTAACCAATGCATTACCACCCTCCAAATAACCAGGCTAACCAATGCATTAACACCCCAAATAACCAGGCTAACCAATGCATTAACACCCTCCAAATAACCAGGCTAACCAATGCATTACCACCCTCCAAATAACCAGGCTAACCATTGCATTAACACCCTCCAAATAACCAGGCTAACCAATGCATTACCACCTTCCAAATAACCAGGCTAACCTAATTGAGCCTAATGACAAAACTTCATTGATTACGCGTCGAAAAACAGTATATATTAAAAAAACTTATATTTTCGTAGAACCTGAAAAATCCGCAAATTTTATTTCAGAAATTGCTTTAAAATAATCCACACTAACGAATAAGCTACTAGACAGTTCAATTTTTGTTGCACTAAAGTGATAACTTACCGTTTTAAGTCCCTCCACAACAACTTTATTTCAGAAGAAAATCATATAAAGTAATTTTATTGACAACGTCGCAAATTCTATGCGAAGGCCATAGATGACATACCGATGATCGATTAACTGTCAATCGAAAAAGTCATAAAATTGCTAGCTTGAGCTGATGTAAATAAATATATTTTCTTAATTTTTATGCTTACAAAGAAGATTCGTTACATTTTTGTGCTTAAATTAGATCATTCCACGTCTATTTATGGTAATAAAGTACTAATATGTGATGTTTTTACTGAATCCGTGTAGAAAATTTAACATATTTACTGTCCGTCGCCTGTACCTAAAATACGTTTTTTTGCCGCTTTTTAAAGATAAAACACATTCATCCAACAATTTTTATGCTTAAAAATATTCAGTTTAAGATAATCTTGCAAAAAAATCCCAAAAAAGTGTTAAATGCGTGGGGACCTATTGTGCACCAGAGCCGTTAATAAATCCACTCCTGAATCTGCAAGCAACGACTTTTAGATGCCTATTCCAAATAAAAGTAAAATTGTAGACAACAGTACAATTATTGAACGCCTCTTAAAAAGTGATGCAATAATTTTTGACCTTTTAAAAATTTACACGGGATATCCCGCGTTTCGATGTACCACACGGTATATATAAATTATTGTTAATAACTTCTTATATAGATCGTAATTCTTTACTAATTCTATAGTAAGATTATTTTTTTAATCATCTAAGTTACTACTGTTTTAAGTAATATTTCCGATCGCACTAAAAACTATAATAAAACAAAACCTATAATAACACGAAAATCCTAAACAAAAATTACTTGTTTTTTATATCCGAGAATTTGGCGATATTAAAATCTCCGTAATGTAGGAAAATTCTTTTGTCGAGCACTTTTTTGGGGAAATATTTCGTAATATAAAATGTCTTTCCAGAAATAGAAATTACAAAATAACAAAATCTCACAAGGGAGTTGTTTGACGAAGCAGAAATATATTTCGTCCTAATTGAAGAATGCAATAAATATCGGGAATTAAAGGACTGCTTCGAGTATTTTCGTTTTTATAAAAACGAAAAATACTTTAAAATCTAGATGTTTTAAACGGTTTCAAGTATTTAGTTTCATTCATTTTAGTTTATCAATTTAACATCATTAAAAAATACAAATAAAAAAATTCTATTGAGCTCCCTTTCGAAAAACAATCGTTCACTCTAAGCGTACCTATTGTTCCCCTCTCCTTTTCATACCAATCCTGCTCCATCCCCCCCTCACCCTCACACCACATCATCATCCATCGAATATAACCTAAAACAAACAAGAAAATTATTTTAAGGGAACGATTGTGTGTTTATTAATGCGATGATATGGGCCGATGTGGATTTAACATCGGGGATCGAACAATGGCGGCGGAGTATTAAATATGTTATTGTTGGAGACTAAGTTTCGGCTAGATCCCTCTCGAAACCTTAGCCCTTAACTCCGCTTAATTGAGGGTGGGGTTATTTAAGTAAAAAGGAGCAGCCGTGTGTGGGAGATTTAGCGACACGATTGCACACTTTGCAGCGTTTTGTTTTTCTTACCTAATAAAAAATAACTGGAGTATCTACTAAGGAATTACTTCATTCTTCAAAATGGGCGAGGGTAGTGGTGTAGGATCGGCAAAAAAAAAGTTTTTTTAATTTCACTCAAAATGAGTTACTTGGGTCATAAATGACCTAAATACAAAATATTTTGATGGTGTCTGTCTGTCTGTCTGTCCGTCTGTAACACGATAACTCAAAAACCGCTGAACCGATTTTGACCAAATTTGGCACAAAAATACTGTGGCACCCGAGAATCTGGCCATTAGTTTTTGGTGGGGGTGGGGGGTTGGTAAGGGAGTATGGAAGGGGGATAAAAAATTTTCAAAAATCGTAACTCCAAAATTACAGTAGCTAGCGAAATGCGGTTTTCAAATTAAGATTAGAAATAATATTTGCAACAAAATCCATACAGATATAAAAGCTCAAAGGGTTTTTTTGTTACATCCATCCCGCCGAAACTACTTTACCAATCTTGGTGATTCTTTTTTTAAATGAAAGGTATATATGTCTAGATTTGTTATGAAGTATTTTTAAATTGTTGAATGGCTATTTCTTTGTGTAAATCGACTAAATATTAAAACATACCTGAAAAACACCTACACACAATACCTCCAGAAATAAATTATTTGTCATTGTCAGTTAAATTATATATCAAGTTTTTAGATATTTTAGGAATCAGTTCATACAGCCAGCTTTAGATACATAAATATTAGAACAAAGGTTCGTTTAAACGACATTAGTGAATTAGCTACACAAAGCGATTTTAGGAAATTCATCCTCTTAGAGAGTAAAATTATGTCGGAACAATTTGTTGTATGAAAATTCCTTACTATGTGGTCTAGAAGAATGAAATCCAACAAAAAGAATTAGAAGCGATTTTTGAAATTCATCAACCAAATGGGTAAAGTTAGTAAAAATTTATATAAAACTTGGTGACCTCTGGATTATACACATAAAAATTGGCACAAAGGATCATTGAAAAGACATGAGTTAATTATTTGGATAAAGCGATTTTATGAAATTTATAATCTTAGGGAGTAGAATAGGGAATGAAAGTTTGCTGTACGAAAATGCATTACTATAACATCTAGCAGTATAAAATTTTTATTTTTATTCGATTTTTTGTCGAGCGAGTCTTAAACAATTATTCTTAGGGGTAGTAGGTATATTTGACCCCACACGATTATGAGTTTTTTCCCGAAATTTTTTTTTGAAAACTTGGAATTTTTTGAAAAACCTTTTGGATTTTTTTTAGTTTTTAGTTAAAAACCATAATTTCTTGATAATATGACAACATAGATAGGTAGTAGATTAAATTTACAAGACAGAAACACCCGAAAAAATATTTGTTTTGGAAATTTTTAAAGTAAAATAACTCAGTTATTTTGGAGTTATTTGAAAAACGGTAAAGAGAAAATACGGTTTTTTATCGAGATCTACCAGCCCTGAAAATATTTGCACTTATTCAAGACTTGCCCTGTATAATACCCACAAAATCTAACTTTCATATGAAATATGAGTAGCTCTAAAACGGCTTTCATCCAAAAAAACAGTTATAAAAACTTTTTCTGGAGAGCCTTCAGAGCTATTTAGACAGCCCTTCACAAAACAAACTTTAAAACCCTTCATTACAAAAATAATAAAGAGGGTACAATAAAACAAAATTGAAAACTCAAAGTATTTAACACCAAACGCAAAATCCACCAAAATACAAATCCAACCTCAAACCCTCGAATGCCTCGAACATAGTGTTTAGTGCTTCGATAAAAATGGCAGTAACTAGTATAGTAAACAATATAAAAGTAAATTTAATATTGATTATAAATAATTAAATTTTTATTATTTATTTCTTAACGATCTTAATAAAAATAGAAAAATCTAACGTGATTTTAAGATATATGGTGTAAATACGGTAGCAGAGAACTAGACACGCCATAATATTATTCTTCAGCGCCCTCTGTCTACTGTTCAGTTAAATACTGATAGGTGACGTCACAATTTTCTACGCGTCCTTTTCAAACCAGTGAAATTTGTATTGAGGGAGTACTTTTTAATCATTCAATTGAATTTTATATTAAAAATAACAAAAATTTACTAACTATGGTTAAACACCGGATTAACAGAACATTATACGACTGAGGATCGCAGTCTAGAATCCGCGTAAATAAAAGACCTCATAGTAGGCCTAATAACAAAAAGAACTTTAACTTAACTTCTGTTATACCGGGTGTTTCTCCTGTATAACTTTTTTTATTTTTTTAGATATAAAAAGCAGATTTGGTATCTTAGTATATGACAGAAATTAGGATTTATTGGCGTATTCAATTGATTTCGGTCACTTCCTGTTTCACCGGAAATGACTACAACTTTTGATTCTTAAATAACGTCCTCGGCTTTTGTTTATTTTAGTCGATAGAAAATGGACACTCTGAATAGAATGACATATCATATGTCAACTTTTGACATTTTCGCATATGGTTTATTTGAAATTGTAACATGCGGTTCATAACGACAATTTGACTCGAAATACCCAGTGTGTAGGTACCAAATTATTCGTAAAAAAATGCTTTTTCCAAATATGCGTCTAATAAAGGTTGTAAACTGAGATAATCGCTATCACACTGTATTTACTTTTTAATTTCTGTACAACATGTAGATCCGGTTCTGCTTATGAGCTACTAATTACCATTTCGTTTTGTTTCAGGTATGGTTCAAAAACCGTCGGGCAAAATGGCGGAAACAGAAACGAGAAGAACAAGAAAGACTGAGAAAGATACAGGAGGAAGATACGCGATCGAACGTCGATCCCCAACGGATTTTGCCTCCGCCGCAACAATTCAGCGACGACGATTCCTCAGACCTGGAAGTAGCATAAAATTACCTTAATTAATTCTCTTTTTTACAAAACAATTTAATTATTGTTAACGATATAACGAAAAAATCAAAACAAAGCTTTGTGATTTTTATCAGTGGCCGCTGACAAAATTACAAACACAATGCAATGGGAATTTAAGGGTGTTAAATGTACAGGGTGTCCCATTTTAGTTGCGATTAAGATTTTTCTCGCTTATTAAGACGAATATGATTTTGCGGTTTGTGCCGACCTGATTTATAGTCCAAGAAACTAGGCAACTCATATGAAAAATTCAAGTTTTTACCAAAACTTCTTATTTGAAAGCGTATTTTCTTGGACTTTTTACAAAAATTTACTAACTTCATACACCTTTCCTACCTCAGTTGATTAATGTTTATTTTTTTTTAATGGAGGCTTCTTTATAGATATTAATATTTATTCTCTTTATACAAACTTTTCCTCATATCGTCGCTCTAGGCAAAATATACTAAGACCGATTTTTTAATTATTAAATTGTACTGAAGCTGGGGTTGATTCCTTGTGAAACATCGTTGAAATATTAGTATTTTAATAAAGCACGCTTTTAGATGTTTCAAAAAACTTTTAATAAGAGTAACTTTAACTCTACATATATGTTTCGGCTTGTTAGGCCTTTTTCAAGAGTTTTTTAAGAACTAATCGTCTAACTACACTGTAACTATATATATATATTTATTGGGGTGGGGTTCAGAGAGCTTAATAGTAATAAAATGTGCTGAGCCGTGCCAATTATTTCAGCTTATCAGATTTTAGCTTAACTGCCCGCTTAAGCGTTCTACCTGTTTCTTTCAGGTGTTCAATTGAGTTTTCACTCTTGTGACATATCGTATAATAGACTTTTACATGTTTCTTTTAATCTCATATCTAAATTCTACCTGTTTGGCCTATGTAGAAATTCTAGATATAAGGATTAAAGAACATGCAAAGTCTATTAATAATCTCCTCAGCACAGTCTCCGGTCTCAACTCACGTACAGCAACAATCACAAAATTAATGAAAACAATTAGTTACTACATTATGAGAAACAAAGGCAGACGCTTGGGAAAGTTACTGAACAAAGTTAGAAATACTAAATCTGTTAAAAACGAAAATAATGTTAACGAGACCAACAAGGATTTCTAAACACATTTTTATTACCCCTATTGTAAACTCTCTGAATCCAATTCTATAGTAAATATATATATATATATATATATATATATATATATATATATATATATATATATATATATAGTTACAGTGTAGTTAGACGATTAGTTCTTAAAAAACTCTTGAAAAAGGCCTAACAAGCCGAAACATATATGTAGAGTTAAAGTTACTCTTATTAAAAGTTTTTTGAAACATCTAAAAGCGTGCTTTATTAAAATACTAATTTTTAATTATTGTCTTGAGGTCTATAATAGCCTTATATGTGTTCAGGAAAATACCGTACGATCGAAAAAAAATGGCGTCAGAGATGGCTGGGAAATGACAATCGATGATAATTTTAGCGAGGTCATCCTCTAGTCGTCACTTGCTAAAAATTGACATAAAACAAAATATCCAGACACACAAATCAATTTCCAAAACAAATATTTTCTCTCGAATTTTAAACTACACCATTTAAAGGGCGTCTAGGGCTTGACCTCGCCAAACTTATCATCTATTGTCATTCCGCAGCCGTCTTTGACGTCGTTTTTTTTTGCGATCGTATTTCACATTGAAAACTTCTTATTTTTTGGACTCGGTGTGTTTCGCTTGTAGACCGACGAAATATTACTTTCTGAGATCTAGTCAATTGTTACTGTAAATATTTTTTGTATAAAATGTATAATAAATGTATTTCTAGAATATGTATTGGTAAGTTTTACCTAAACCCAATAAAAAATATACTAGCATGTATTTCAAATTTTAACGAATAACCTTTGAAAGAAAAACGCCTCAAAATTTAAAACTGATTAACGTTAGTAGGTATAAAACGTTAATTTTGAATTAATACTATTTAAAATTGTATACATTTTTTCATTGCATAGCACATATCTATAATGTAAAATCATAAATATTAGACATAGGTAGACGTATATAGTGATTTGCTGTATATTTTGTTTGTACATACTGTGTATAATCTAATAATAACTGTTCATGTATAAGTTTAGATTTTAAATTATATACGTGATCTTATAATTTCCTGTAAAATATATAAATCATTTTTTTTAAATTTTGGTTGTTTTATTTAAAAAATCCCTAAGAACTTATTAAGAAGTTTCAGTATAAAAAAAATCGAGAAAACAAAATTATAATGAAATTATTATTGCAATTAAACCTATAATTAATAATTTACTTTTATATTAAATTGTGTAAACCAATTAAAAATGACAAAAAAGAACGAAATATGTGGGGCTCTTTTTATTTGCAAAGAAACGGTGAATCCTACACAAACCAGTTGTGTAAAATGGAGAGAAAACTCTATTATTCTGCATATTAACAAACTAAGAGTCAATTGAATGTAGTTTTCTGATTTACAAACCCCTACAAAAAATCCATAAAAAACTTTAAAAGACAAACTTTGGAAAATAAACTAGATATTTTTATAATATCTTTATGGATTCGGTGAGCTTTAATAATAAAAGACACGAAAAAACTAATTTATTTACTTATTATACAGGGTGAATCTTAAATAAGTGCAAATATTTTTAGGGCTGGAATATTTCGACCCCAGGAACACGTCTATGTTCAAAAGAAGTTGAAAATCGTACATTTTCTTTTAAATTTTTCCGTAGATTTTAGAAAACTTTTTAGCACTGTCTTTTTACCGCAATTTTTCCCACGGTATAATTTCTTAATCTCTGATATTACCATGGTTACCTGTTTACTCTAAGGTTACGGCACTATAAGTGATGCAAATACAGAAAAAAATCCCGTTGCTCTCAAATTTTTTTAAGATAAATATTTTTTTTCGAATCTCACAACAGTATTAATTTTTGCGACGTGAATGACAATATAAAAATAATTATTTTTTGTACAAGACGATAAAATGGTATTTTATACGATAATGCAACTTTATCGTCGTGTATAAAACAATATTTTTTTCCATGCGTTACGTTTTAAAAAATATTCAGAAATTATTAATTCAAGGAATTTATTACGAGTAGAAAAAATATTGTGCTGGGTTGGCGTTGGTTTCTACCATAGACAAACAAATAAAAAGAGACTGGCAAAGAGAGGGACAACGTTCCCGTAGCGCAACTCAGAACGCAAAATTTCGTTCTATTTATGTTGATCTGCGCATTGCGTCTATTGGGCCCACTATCTCATTCTAATATAACAAGAGAGAAAGAAGCAGCCATATAAAAGGTAATTTTTAAATAGAAATTAGAACAATCGCCTTTCGTTTTCGTCAAGATGACAACATCATGACAATTCGTCATGTTTGTTAATTTTTCTTTTGGTGATTTACCTCAATTTTATTGACTTATGAATATAGGGAACAAATTCCTTTGTTCCATATAGGTATTTATATTTTGTTACTTATAATTTTGGGTTATACTATTTGTTATTTTATTTGCTGCAAGAGCCAGTATCATCTATTTTCTATATGCATTGGTGCCCCCTTTCTCTGATAGATGTGTTAAAGACACCCGGTAAAATAAAAGTAAGTAGTTATATATTTATCATCTTAATAAGAAAAAAGTAGAAGTATAGTAGTGTCAAAAATATTTCGAACCTCTCTTAACATAACAAATTAATACAATTAATTTTTTTCATTTTTTGGGTAGGTAGTTTATAGCTGGTTTATAGTAACCAGAAACTTTATTAATACACCTATTTTACTTTTGTTTTAGGATTAAAACTGGACTTGAAAATGGTTCAGGATCATGATTCTCGTAAAGTCTTCTTTGCTTGGATATTCACTTTGTTATTGCAATTAGGCAGTTTTTTCGAAAATGAGATTTTTAATGCCCTTTAAAAAAATTGGCCGATCGTTTCCTGCAACAGTCAATTCTCCTGCAGTTAAAATTGGTAGGTGGGTGGAATAAACACTGTTATTTTTTGTTATTATATTATAAAAAGTTTATTTATTTTTATGTATAAATAAATATGTTTATAAAACAGTACAATTTTTGCTTTTTTTATAATTTCCCTTATAATAGTAGTATTCTTTCGTTCTGAAAGAAACTGCAAATTTTCACTTAAACTGATTAATTCCTACGCCTAGAGATATGAGGCAATTTTAACAGTTGTTTTTCTTAATTTTCTCTAAAGCGGCACGGGATTAACCATTTCAGAACAACCAAAAATATTTATAAAAAATGCATTTTTTTCAAAATGTCAATAATAAAAAAGTTTTTCCTCTTGTAAAGAAAATCCGGTGACATACTGTAAATCATTAACAACTGAAAATAAAATTATATCGGTAAATTGCTAATTAGGCATTATTTGAACAAAACGAACAATACGAAGAGCTGTACAAACAACGACGATCATTTCAAAAGCAAATCGCCGCCGATGTGTCGTTTTTAAACAATAATGAATAACAAATAGGTCTATATTTTAATTAGCAATATTGCACATTTCGGCCTCTGTAAGCCATTTGAGTGTAAACTGTACCAACAAAAGGCAATAATTACTGCGCTTTGTTGTTTTTTGCTAAAATAACATTTTATGATTATTCCAATTAATAATGAATTATTTCGTAGACTCGTATAGGCTTTTTGCTATTTCCACGCTAATAATTTATTTATTCTATTTGTTTTAATCATAAATTAAAAACAGATTGTCGGTTCATTATATTTTAAGCTGATGATTTTGAATAAATACCTTATATATGCGTCTGTTTTTTATCTAATGTTTGAGGGTATATGTTTAGCAAAAACTAGTTAATGAAATAAATTTATTTTGTATTAAAAATCTTTCAGCGCGTTAATAAAAAATTGGCGCCGCCGGGAGGCACGTAGGTATAGCCGCCCATACTAAAATATGATAATAAAAAGTTGGTAGGCAGTTCTTTTAGCTTCAAAGTAAAGGAATTTTTCCAATTTTTTTTATCTCAAAAACAGTGACTTTGACTGATTTTGATGTTATTACAAATTTTGTTGCAAATATTATTCCTAATCTTAAATTGAAAACCGCGTTTCGTTAGCTACTGTAATTTTGGATTTTTTTTAAATTTTTAACCCCCTCCCATACCCCCTTACCGACCCCCCACCCCCACCAAAAATTAATGGCCAGATTCTCGGGTGCCACAGTATTTTTGTGCCAAATTTGGTTAAAATCGGTTTAGCGGTTTTTGAGTTATCGTGTTACAGACACACGATATCATGAAAATATTTTGTATTTAGGTCATTTATGACCCAAATAACTCATTTTGAGTGAAATTAAAAAAACTTTTTTTTTGTCGATCTTAATAGTTTAATAGCCTACCATACCTGGTGGTATGGCCGGCTAAAAAGGGTAGGTATTTGAAACTTTGACGGAAAATAACAAACGGCAAATGACTATCTCTGTTCAAATGTAAACTCGAAAATATTAAAAAGTTAGTCAAAACCAAAATA